TGTCATAAGGTGAAGGTCAGAAGAACTGAGTCGTTTTGCAGAAAGGAAGAGAGAGTTTCCAGGGAGAAGTAAGGAGAAACAGCACCACACAGGGCCTGGAGGCCTGGAGGAAGCTGAAGAAGGCCAGCAAGGCTGAGGGGTGAGCCAGCCCCGGGTGATCAGGGTGGCTGTGTGGACAGTGTGGGCACAGGACAGCAGGAAGCTTCGAGCGATTCAGGTTGGGTGGGGGTGTGTCTGCCCCATGGCATGGCTTTGGAAAGCTCCCACAGGCTGCTGCAGAGGCATGTGGAAGTGAATGAAGGTCAGGAGGCTGGGCAGGGTTGCTGGGAAGGTGCAGGGTGGGGTGGACCAGTCAGAGGGCACGAGAGGGAGAGCTGGTTACGGACGGCCCTTCCTCATTCCAGGCACCCACCACTTTGCCAACAGTGGAAACAAACACCACGCCTCAATCTCCCGGGCAGGAGCTAATTAAAAACCCTGGCCGCCTGCCAACCCCCAGCCCATTTACTCTGGGATTAGCTCTTGAGAGCTACTTAACTCACAGGCAGAAGCCACGCCACCCTCAGTCACAGCATCATTACAGCTCTGAACATGGAGCCAGGGGGCTGTGCTCATTGCTTGCGCTTCTCAACAGTCCATCCTCATGTCATCTCTATTCTGCACATGAGGAAATGAAGGCTCAGGGAGGACAGGGGACTTTGAGAGGCCACACAGACAAGGGCAGGATTTGAAACCCAGTTCTCTTGTTTCCACCAAATGCCAAACCTGGACAGTCACCTGGAGTTTTGCACTCCCTTCTGGTTTGATGAATTGTACATCTCATAAGTTAGACAGATGCTGGCATCTGTGTGTACTTTACAGCTTACAAAGACCCCTTGGATTTAATTTTCCTGCCAGCCTGAGGGCATGCCCATTTAATGAGGGGAGAAACTGAGGCTTGTCCAGCTAGCAAATGGCTACTCTTGGAACAAACTCAGATGCCTGGTCCTCAGATTCAGCACTGCCTCCCCTGAACCAATTGCTCCTGGATATACTGTCACAGTCAGAGGCCAGGCCACTCAGAATATCTCAGCATCCCCTCGTGTCAAACATGGCTGAAGTCCTTGTGCCATTCCAAGGCTGTAAGACATGAGCTTATGGACAGTGACTGTCCTTGGGGCCACCTGAATCAGCTCTTTGGATCCACTGAGGCAGGAAACCATGGGCCCTGGCATCAGGCACCTATAGGCCGCCATACCAGCCATCCTACATGCTGAGGCTGCCTGGACATGAGGACCCTGTAGTATGGTCTCCTGGCACTCTCCTTGAGATGAATGGGGTCACCACTGACACTTCAAAGAGGCAAGTGCTGCTGCAGGTCACAGGAAGGAGCCCAGGTTTGCAGGGGGCTGCAGACGTATCATGAATGTGCAAACAATACACTGTCTGCTAGGAAGGTTGGAGAAGGGGAAGAGATGATGACCAGGGCAAAGCCATGAAAGGCCAAAAAGATGCTATGGCATCTTTACCCTGGTGGCAGGGAAGTGGTCAGATTTGTACTTTAGAAGGTTCCCTCTGTGGCCACAGATTGGGGGGTGGATTGAAGGTTGGGGGCAGTTGGGTCATCAGGAGAAGACCCTTCCACTGGGGACTGAGGAGCCCTGGGCTGGGGCAGAGCCCTTGTGGAGCAAAGAGGGAGCTCCCTTGAAAGCTCAGATGGATGCCACTGACTGACACCTCCTTTTGTTCTTAATATGTCATGACTGTTGACCAGGTGATTTTCCGAGCAGACTGTGAGGTTTTAATCTGTAGTGCTCCCTCTGGGTTCCTAGCCTCCAGGACAGGGCCTAGTGCATAGTAGGTGCTCAGTTAATATCTGCTTAAGGGAAGACTATGCACATTTAATAAAATGAAAATGAGACTATGACAGGCCTCTGCAGATTATAAGCCCTCCGGCAATCATGTACAGAGGGCCTACTATGCCCAGGCGCTGAGCTAGAAGCCGGGCTGCTATAGGGAACAGGCAGGGAAGGCATGGAACAAGAAACCACAGGGCTGAGAGACGAGGGTGAGGGGAACCCAGTGGGGAAGCCCCTGTCTCTGGGAAGGCGCCATCCACATGGTGAGCAGGAGTCGGCCAGGTGAAAAGCCGGCACAAACTGCCTCACTATCTGTACTCCTGCTTGAGCTTGCTGTGTGTCCAGGGGCAAGGCACAACCTCTCTGAGCTTCACTTTCAAGAGCTGTGAGATGGGAAGAAACCCCACAGAGCTATGGAGGGGAACAAGTGAGGATGTGTCTGGGAGGAGTCTGGGTACATGGTGGCTCTGAGGCTCTTCTTTCTTTCCAGGTTGCTGAGATCAGGAAAATCTGGGAAGGGGGCCCTATCTGGGGAGCTGGAAATGGTAAACATGAGGGCCTGCTTCTTCCCTTGAGTCCTCAGGGGGACTCACCACCTGAAAAGGCCTGCAGAGCTCTGGGGTCTTCCAATAGATCAGGAGCCTGGAGTGCAGGGGAGGGAGGACCCGGGGAGGGTTCTCAGGCCCTGGTGAGGGATCCCCAAGGAATACCTGTTCTAGGAGTGATGTGCCCTCCCCAGAGCCCAGGATGCCCTCTGGGCAGTGGCAGCCCTTGTACCCTAGAGGCCTCCCCAGGCCCATGGTGTGAGTGGTGGGGCCATGTCACTGTGTGTTCAACCTGTACCTTCTTCCAGAGCAGCAGAGCTGTGATCAGGATGCTAAGTGCAGTCAGGAGGCCAGTGAAGCCAAAAAGCAGTGCCTTCTGGGAGCTGGGTGGGGGCTGTTGGTACCCCATGTCTGGAAGAAGGGCAGGGGACAGAGGGTTAGTCCCCCACAAAAGCCAGGGCCTACCAGCCCACCAGTACAAGACCCCAAAGCCCTATGTTCCCCTCCCCCAGGGCCCCATTTCCAACCCCCCCAACCTCCCTCAGCTCCTCATTCTTATACTCTTTGCTAAATCTTCTGTTTATGCCAACTGCCTTGATTCTGTTTACGGACAAGGATGACACATTTGTTCCTTGAGTACCACTGCCTCAGTGAGCTGGCTCTACTGAGGGCCACCTATGGGACCCTGGATGAATTGTGTCATCTTTTGGGGCCTCTCCTTTCCCCTATTCAAAATGGTAGTAATATGGGTAGATGTGTTAAGGGTTAAAGGAGACAGGTTTGTACTGGGACCTACAGGGATGCACCAGGAGTAGGCGAGGCAAGCCCTCGCCTCTCCTGACCCTATCGTCCATCCACCCATTGTTCGCTCCCTCCTATCTGGCTGGCAGAAATTCAGGGAGTGCCACAACTGGCCAGGCACATCAGTGTTATTTTTCAAACCTCTCCTATTGCTAGATAGCAGGCAGCCCTTATGCGCAGGCTCTCACTCTCCTCTCCAAAGTCCTCTACAGCCTAAGGTCACATCTGGGCAAGCAGCAGGACAGGGACTCAAACCCAGGTCTGTGGGACTCCAAAGCCCTTCGCCCCTTCCCATAGGAATTCCAGAGGTCAGAGAATCAAGGCTTTGGCAATGGGCTTGTGCTAAGCTTGTAGGATCTCACATCTTTAAGAAGGTGATGTTAGCTAGGAATTGGTTTCAGGGAAGAGATATGTGAGCCAAGTCTTTACATATAGCCAAGTCTTCCATGAGTACATACCTGCACACATCTGATTCTGCCGAGGCCCAACCCCCTCTCCCCCATTGTACTGATGGGACACCAAGCCCTAGGGACTGAGTGACCTCTGTCACCTGCCAGGGGTGGTTAAAGGCAGATCCACATCCCAGGCCCCTGCTCTTTGCTCACAAAGGTGGTGCAAAGCCCCCTTCAGGGCAGGGGCTCCCCAAGGATGCTCTGTTTGGCTTTGCCAAGGCTGGAAGACAAGGCAAAGGGCTCTCCACTTCGGACCTGTGCCCCAAACTCTGTTGGTTGACCTCCGTGGAACCTTCACCCCGAGAGGAACCAAGAGGTCTCACCTCTAACCAGGATGAAGGTTCCATTGCCCTGTACCATGGAGCCTGGCCAGTGAACACAGCAGTAGTAGGTGCCTGTGGCTGATGAGTCCGGCAGCCTGGGCATGATCTGGCAATCCAAGATGAAGGTCTGGTTCTCTGTGCCCTGGCTGGGTCGGCAGTTGGTCTTCTCCTCTGAGCTTTTCTGACCATGGAGATCCACGTGAAAGTAAGTGACAGTGAAGTCCTTGAATTGTGGGGTGTACTGGTAGGTGATTCTGCAGCTGAAGGAGATGGCTGTGTTGGCCAGGGAGACCACAATGGGGAGGCCAGTGTGGATCACTGACTGCCCTCCTGTGGGAGAAGCAATGAGAGTGACAGGTCACTTGAGACTCCTCACTCACCTGTTTCCCCATGAGGACTAAGACTCACACCTCCCATGCACGCACCGTGCACAGGAGTTGTGCCAAGCACTTTATACACATCATCTCCACCTCTCCTGATCTACCCTGAGGCAAGCCAAGGGCTCTGTTTTATAGAGGAAGAATCTGAGGGCCAGGGAGGTCAAGCCACTAGCTCCTGATCCTTTAGCAAGTGGAGAGTAGAGCTGTGACGCCACCCAAGGCTGGGGACACCAGAGCTCATGCTCTCAACCCATCTCCTTCCCACAGGCCAAGAAACCTCACTTGGTAAAAGCACAAGTCTAAGAAGAGCAAAAGCTGGGGAAGAATTCGAAGCAAAGAAGGAGGCAGGAAGCCAGGTGTAGTGACTCATGCCTATAATCCTAGCTACCGGGGAGGCAGAAATCAGGGGGATTGCAGTTGGAGACCAGCTCAGGCAAAAAGTTCATGAGACCCCATCTCAACAAATAGCTGGGTGTGGTAATGAGCACTTACCATCCTAGCTGTGCAGGAAGCATAAACAGAAGGATTGCAGTCCAACCCAGGCATAAAAGCACAACCCTATTAGAAAAATATCTAAAGCAAAAGGGCTGAGGACATGACTCCAGTGGTAAGTACACCTGCTGAGCAGGTGCAAGGCCCTGAGTTCAAACTCTAGTCCAGCCAACCTCCTACCCCCCCAAAAAAAAATAGAAGGCGTGAAAACAAACTAAAGAAACCAAGCACCTGCCGTGGGTGGAGAGCCACGTCCCAGGGCCAGAGGAGGAGGCCGGGCAGCCAGCAGCTGGAGACAGACCTCTCCTGGAACGGAGCTTGGGGAGGATTTGTCAAGTCTCCACGCAGCCTAACAAGCAAGGCCCCTGCGAGCAGTTCTCAGCACACAGAAGTGCGCACAGGTGGCCACTCAGCTGCAAGACCAGTTCCATGACAACTGCCCATCTCTGCCTCCCATTCATCAGAAGCACCTTGGAAAACAGTTTGAAAACCCCCAAAGCAGCAGCGCAGCCAGGCTGAGCCTCTAACCCCCCTGCAGGCTTCTGAGATGCTGCTTAGATTTGGGCCAGGGTGGTCAGCCACCATCCCCTACTTCAGTGGCCCCTCGGCTCCAATATTCCCTTCCTCCCAGGCCCTTCCCTCTCCAGCAGCTCAACGGCAGACAGTTTTAAATTGAGGTCGGCAGCAAGCAGCCAAGAACACGCAGGCCGGCTTGTTAATCGGGAGAAGATTGCGCGTTTGAAACGCTCAGAGGGAGCCCAGAGATTTATTTTGCTGGGGAAAGAGAGGCAGAGGCCTCCTGCCTGTAGTGTGGGCTGGCGTGAGGCCAGCTGTCTCTTCTCAGGGACAGAGCCTGGGCATGGGAGGGACAGCCAAGGGAGGAAGACTCAGGAGCAGGGGTGGCATGGCCCTTCACGCAGTTAATGCGCTAGGCATGCTGTTATTTTCAGTTTGCTGTTGAGCCACTAAACAGACACCCTCCCCAAAGAACTGGGGGCACTGACGGTGCCAGGGAATCCACTGGCATATCCACTGCCACAGTGGGCAATGTTTTTTTTTGTTGTTTTGTTTTGTTTTTTGTGGGACTAGGGTTTGAACTTAGGGCTTTACTGTACTGAGAGCACAGAGCAGGCGCTCTACTGCTTGAGTCACACCTTTACTCCATTTTGCTCTGGTTATTTTAGAGGTGGGGGGGTCTTACAAACTATTTGCCTAGGTTGGTCTTGAGCTGTGATCCTCCCTGTCTCAGCCTCCCAAGTAGCTAAGATTATAGGAGTGAGCCACTGGTGCCCATCTAGGGACAACTCTTACTTGGGGAATATCCACTGAAATGGCATTTGGGCCCCCTCCAGCATAAGGAGCCCCTGTTCTGGGCTCTCCTCTGGTGGGACTTTGCACTGTCCTTTTCCCTTCCTTCCTTCCTTTTCTTTTTTCTTAGCAGTGCAATGGTTAGAGCTCGTGGCCTCCTGCTTGCTAAGCAGGTGCTCTACCACTTGAGCCACCGCTAGCCCTTTTAGCTTTAGTTTGGTTTTCAAATAGGTTCTCATGCTTTGGCCCAGATCAACCTCAGATTGTGATCCTCCTACTTCCACCTCTCAAGTAGCTGAGATTACATATGTGTACTACTACACCCAACTTGTGTTTCCAGATGGATCTTGCTAACACTTTCCCTGGGCTGGCCTCAAGCAAGTCCTGATCTTGAGTAGCTGGGATTACAGACATATATCACCTGGCCCTTGCACTGTCCTTTCCATCTCTGGACTAAGTTGCAAGATGGTTATGATTTCACAATATCCATATTCTAGTTTTGTCATCAAACAAGAAGACCTAATTCAGAGCAGAGGTTTTGAAAATGTGGCAGGGATGGATAAAGAGTATGGGGGTAGTTCTTGTTACACGATCCCCCAGGGTCCTCAGTGGGATGGGAAGGACAAGAAGCAAGATGGTGGTATAAACTACAAACCACTGAGAGCACCACTCAGGCTGCCTGGCCACCCACCCAGCACACAGGCCTCCCCTAATCTGGGCCTCTACCTGCAGCCTATATCTCCTCACATGGCCAACTCCTGAGGCCCCCAGACTTTGTTCAGAAGACCTTTCTCACGCAGAGGCAACCAGGGCTAATGGAGCCTGGCTCAGCTTGTCTGAGGTTTCCTCATGAAAGACAGAGGTTGGAGCCTGACCAAAGTCACTGGGGACCTCACAGTTCTCTCCTCCTCCCCCGGAGCCCCCTGCTTCTCCTCCAGTGGGTCTAAGAAGTCACTCCAGAACTGGGGGAAGGTGGACTTGCTGTCAGCACCACAAAGCCACCTTCCTGTTTGTTCTGGCAGGAAGACATTCATCCAATTGTCTTGAAAAATTCTCCCATTTGAGGCTTCCTTCTAGAAAATGATAGAATCTGCTAGTGCAATTAAGGTGATCTTTCCCATTTGGTGGAAATCCATAGAAATAGATGTTTGTTGTTCTACAGTCTCCTGGGAATCATTATTTTAAGGTTGGAGGGTTAGGATTATGAAAAGGCAAGGCCTGGCTCTGGTTAGCCATGGCTCATAGGGCTTTGGAGTGAGATCCTTGACCTCCTGACGAAGCCACTGTCTTTGAAAATGGAGAGAGTGGGCAGCCTCGGTAATGCCAGCCAATGGAGTCCTGGAGCCAGAGCCCAGGAGGAAGCGGGACTGCAGGGACAGCCAAGGTGTCCTGACGATGAAACCATCATTTCCACTATTGCCCTTTGCTGGGTATCAGCTTTGTGCTGGGCCACAAAGCTGCCCAGCTCCTACCCTCTCTCATGTACCCCTTTCGGGGTATGTGCTATGGGGGTCCAGCCTCCCTCCCTGGCCCGAGCTGGCTGCTCCCAGTTAAGATCTAGCACTGGGACAGGTTTATAGCAATTCCCCAGTCGTGAATTCTTTTCCTCTATGACTTGTTCCCACAAGTGTAGAAGTGGTCCCAGTTAGGTGGCAGACCCCATCCTGGGCCTGAAGGGGCCTTTCTGCCCTGGCAGCATCTGCAGTATGACAGGGATGATGTGAGCAGAGGAGCCTGGGACAAAGGAGACACTAAGTCTGTCTGAGAAGGTGAGGGAGAGGCATTTTGGTGACCTGGGTGTCCAGAGGGCATCTGTGACCTAGAATCAGGAGCACATGGACAGAATAGAAAGACATGCATAGGAAACTTGCCCTATGTGACACAGGCCCCATGTCAAGTAAACACTCTGATCATCTTCTGAGCTATTGTGACCCCAATCCACAGACAAAAAGCCAGAGGGACTTGGAGGCCTAAAGCCGCAGGGTTCGTGAGTGGGGAGGCGGCCTTGAGCCCAGAGTAATCCAATCGTGTGAGGGAGGCTACAGAGAAAAGGGCAAGGAGATGCAGGGATGGGAGTTTCATGGCAGCACCAGGCACAGTAGCCATCAGATGCTCAAGATAGGTTTGTAGGCCTTGGCAGAAGTCACAAATCTGCACAGTCTGGTCACTGACAAGTGGCTACATGGCTCCAAGATCACAAGGAGACTTTGGCTCATGGATCTTTGTCCCTTGTTCTGGCAAAGGCAGTGTGACGCCACAGGACAATGTGGCTGGGCATCTTTTGAGGTTCTACTCATGCAGCTAGCTGCCTACAGGGACAAAATCCTGTAGGATAGGGGAAAGTCAGCCTGAGGGCTGATGAGGGAGTGAGGGCCATGGGGACCTAAATGACATACCCAGGGGGTTGAGCAGCCATGAAAGTACACAGTGGAGACCACTTCAAACACCACAAGCTCCCAGAGCACAGGGCCCTGGTCCCCAGCACCTGGTAAGGCAGGTAGCTTCTGTTCCCACATTGCCTTCCCTGCCTCCACCCCAGGAGGTGGAAAGGCCCCTCCCTCTCTCACACAGCCAGCATGAGGAATGGCCTTAGTCATCATCAAGGGCAGAGTTCTGGCTCTTATAGGGGTAGAGATTTGAGGAAGCAGTGACCTTAAGTGAATTGCTCAGAAGACTGTGATCTGGTCAGTGACCGGAGCTGCTGAGCAGTGCCAGGGGAAATCTCCCCACGCTGAGGGTTCAGAGGGCCCTGGGGCAACTCAAGCCGCTTGTTGATCATTCTCCAGGCCCTGCAAGTTCCCAGGCAGGCTAGGCTGGCCGGCCTGGCACAGAAAGGAGACCCAAGGGGCCTCTAGTGTCTTCTTGGGGGGAAACGGATTCCATGCCTTCAGTTTAGAGAGCTCAGGAGTATTGCAGGGTACAGGGCCTGGAGGGGACTCAGGGTAGAGTGGGGCAGTGGGCAAAGAGGAGAGGAAGTGAAGACAGCTAGTTTCCCACCTAGCCTTTGCTGGGCCACCCTTTGGGCTGCTTCTTCCAGCCCAGGTAGGAAAAGGGAAGGGAAGGCAGGAGAGTTGAAGGTCAAGTCCAGGGAGAGCAGTTCTGGATGGGAGCCAGGAGCCTGTGCAAAGGTGGATGGGATGGCGCAGAGCA